TTCCACGCACCCATGTGTCCTGCAGGCCGGGCCACAGACCTATGTGCGGAAGCGGGGCAATACTTGCTTTTCTTCTCCCTGAATTCTTCAGGTATTTCCTGATAATGTGCCCTTCAGTAAGGAGGTCTAAGGAAGCCTCGGGATCTCTCCTGAAATAGAACAGCATCCAAATGCTGTGACCCCAGACCTCAACATTTCTGCTGAGGTTAGATGTGGTCTTTAGGCAAACTCAAACTTTATGGCAGGGTGGGGGAGGGGGCGGTTTGCTTTGATAAGCCTTTTTAGACATGCAGATTTTCTTGGGGAAGCCTTGATCTAAGGGAATAAGTGAAATAGAGAAAAATAGAGATGCCTCAGCCTGGGATGTTCAATATTCTCTTCAATAATTAAAAATGCTGTCTCCAGTGGGAGCAGAGGGCTTGTTGTAGAGATTATCATGGTTTGAAGCATTTTCTGTATAAGTGGTGAGGGCAGGGGTTGGGGGGGGTGGAGTGCTAGGCAATAAGGCCCTGAAAGATGTCACTTCCTACAATGAGGAGATAGGAGGATTTCAGGGACCCAGCTGCTCAGCCAGAGGACAGAGGCAGGCTGGAGGGGTGCTCAGAGGGGATGCCCACTGTCCTCCACAAACACGATTTTTAAAACGTAAGTCTCAAGTTGTTTTCCATTCAATGTGTAATGTCCCTTTGTGACCGCCTATCCTTCAGTAAAGACTGTTAAACACAACAGCTTTCTGTTAGCGGAGGAATATGAGGGAAGCATGTGTCTGTGTTTGGGGAGGGAAGTGGATTGGGGAGAGGTGTTAGCATAAGAGACAGCTGAGGTGTGGAGTGAGAAGTGACAGTGGCAGCCAGAATGGGCTTGTAGAACATGGAAACAGGATCCCTGGCTTCTCTGAATTGTTAGAAGTTAGGGCTGCATTTCCTGCAAACACGTAAAATGTGAAAGGGTCAGGAATGGGAAGGAAGATCGTTATTTTATGAATTTTAAAGAAAGAGTTGAGTTGGAATGATGATATATTGGAATAAAAACTGCTACAGTATGAATTTGTTTCTAATGAAGAAAAGAAAAAAGGGAAGGAAGGAAGGAAGGGAGGGAGGGAGGAAGGAAGGAAGGAAGGAAGGAAGGAAGAAAGGAAGGAAGGAAAGAAAATCTTTGCTGTCCGATCCTGTGCCATTCATGGCTTCAATCTGCTGAGAACAAAATCCTGAGGAAGGGAATAGTGTGGTCCGTATCTTCCAGAAATGGCTTTAAATAGAGAGGAATTCAGAGACAGGACATACTTCAAGTTCTCAGGAACCATGCTAGATCCCTGGATGGGATCTGAAACAAGTAGATGAGGGCTCAGGGAACCCAGGAATATGAGGGGATGGGTCCCTTGCCTAAGGGCCCCTAACTGGCCCACACCCATCCTTGTGTCCTCCTGGGTGTTATTATACATTCGTAAATCAAAACATTACCCATCCATGTCTATTTGTATTTTAAACAATTTCACATAGAGTAAATGCCACAACCCAAAAAAGTTGAACAATGAAAACTAGCTGCCCTGCAATGTTGTGCATGCTCAGCACTTTCACTCAAATCCTTTGTTGTTGTTGTTTTTTAATTTGATCCTCAGGACAACCAGGTGAAGACAAATAGCAGCATCACTACTGCGTCTGCAGAAGAGAAAGCGTGAGGCTCACATAGAGAAGGTTCTGCGGTTAGTAAGTGGAGGAGCTGAGTTCTAAGCCCAAAACCTTTCCCCATTTTCAGTCTGCTGTACCTGCACAACTGAGTAGTTGCAGTTCGTGGCACCCGGGGAGATAAATCTTTTACTGTGTGCCAGAATTGTGTGGCTTTGTTTTTGTCTTTTCAGGGTCTCCTTAAATCACAGGGCATGAGAAGCATTGCAATGTGGGTGCAGGTCTTCCAATTTTTCAAGAGAATCTGGACACGTAGATTTGTAGACCAAGTCTGATATTTTAATATTGGTACATCTGAGAAAGAAATGAAATCGACACCTTGTGCAAACCCAGCATGCCGGCCACCAGTGTGAGACCTCTGCCTTAAATCTGTGTACTTGGCTCCTTCCCAGACTTATTCCCAGAGAGAGTGGAAAGGTGATGTCACTGTCTTCTACTCCTTTTTCTCCAACAGACTCTCACCTGGTCTGAATATCCGCCCCTGGATTCCTCAACTTTTCTATTTCCCTCCATCTGAGTCATTTTCACTTTTTCTCTGGGGGGAGGGGGTTCCATTGGGAATCAAGTGATGTCAGGAGAAACGTTGTGTTTGGTTTTTCAGCAGCCTGAACTGGAGGGAACTAGAGAGGAGACAGCTAGAAGGCATGGGGGACCAGGGCGCTGCCTGCGAAGGAGAGGAAATCAAAGGATGGAGCTGATGGGCACTCTTAGTAAATATTCAATAGTAATGCAAAAGAGAGTAATGGGCCACAAAGAAACTGTGATAAGCACGCCAGTGGTTGACTGTATTTCAGCACACAGCTGGGTACTAGAGCTTAACACATCTCTTCAGACATTGCAGACGGTTTTACTGTGCTGGGAGGAAAACCTGAGTAATGAATACTGGGCAGATGCTTTTGCGATTATGGAAACAAATAAATAGTGGAAGAAGAATGGCAATTAAAGAAAGAGATTCTATTTCCACCACTCTAAATCGACGTGACATCTCATGGCAGATATGATTTCATTAATTAGCAGCAAGAGATGTTAGAAATAACCGTAGTGTAGATGGGCTTACTTTGCCTTTGCCAATGAAAGTGCTTTTGAATGTGACCCTTCAGTAACTGAGGCAACAATATTTCTTAGCTCCTATTGTGGAGGGAGTAGCAGGCACTGTGGGGGGAGGCACAGGAAGTGGTGGTGGTAATCTTTTCCTCTGAGTAAGCTTAGAGTCTAGTGGTATTAGATTTGCAAGAAGGATGAAGCTCCTCCCAAAAGCCCAGATCAAATCCTAAACAGTTTCAAGGAACACCAAAATCTATGTACTAGACACCTGTCCCAGAAAACGTATCACTTCGCATTTGTCTGAACATAATTCAAACCACGTTTACTAAAACTGTTACCCTATTCTATAGCCATTTTGTTTTTGTGTTTCTGTAAGAAAATGCAAAGAATAGCATTTTCTTGGAAAAGCATTTCCTTGGAAGCCTCTTTACAACTTTAAAAATAAAAGTGTTTATATTTATCTACTTGTAAGGTTATCTGAATCTCTAAATTCTCCTAAATCACACTCCTTTCTTTCCCATCCCCCCTTTTTAATTATTATTATACTCATACCACCATGAACGTCATACATGTTCATTAAAAATGCAATCACTTCTCTCTCCCATTCAGTTTAGCAGACCAACACTAAAGTTAAGTGGTCAACCTGTCGTTCTACTTCTCAATCCTGACAGGGTTATCAGTAAGCACAGTCAAAAAATAAAACAGATCAGTGGTAGTGCCACCCAGTAAGAAGAATGAAATCCAGATGCTGTCAAAATTAAGAGAGGTTTGATTAATGCTACCGTTAACTTTATTTCCACTGCTTCCCCAGCTGGGTTAAAAGAAAGCAGGACAGGGCCAGAGCAATGTGTTCACACTGCAGGGCATCTTTTTAGCAAGGCACAATTTTTAAAATAATGTCTAAGTCACCTGATGTGTTGTCAAAAGATTGCCTTGTATCTATCAAGAAGCTTTAATTCTAGAGTCAAAAGTAGGCTTTACCTCAGTGCCGGTTCCCTACCCAGACCTCCCCGGTATCAAATGTACTTTTGTCTCCTCTGTGACAGGGAAAATATCAGTGATGTACTGCAACGTATATTTGGGATCTCTATAACATCTGTGGGAGTCAAATCCTATTTCCCAGACAGGCACAAAATTCATGTGACTTTTAACTCACTTTTGAGTAGATCCTGACCTAATATAAAAAATTGACAACAGGTGACCAATATTCCCAAAGAATCATAAAAATTCAAAACATTCAGAAGAACAAATACTTTCAAGAAAAGTTGACTGAAAATCCCAAGTTGGGATCACACAAGTGAGTGTGTTTAAAATCACTTGGTTTGCATTCCATTCTTTAATCGATCTCTGAGAATCTTGATATCATCTCCATATTTCAAGCTTCTTTCTTGCAACTTCTCAACAATTTCGAGTTATTTATTGTGGTGCTTTCAGGAAAGCAATAAAAATGTTTTCAGACTTCTGTGTGTAGTGAAAGGAAAAAAAAAGGCTTAATTGGTCCAGCTGTGTCTTGTTTTTCTAAATATAAAAAAATAAGTTATTCTGTGTTGAATGTAGAATCCACTGAAATGTGACAAACTGAAGTTACTTTATCTTTCTTGACAGTAATTTTTCAGAAATCCCTATTATTTTTGTAAATTTCCCATAATCAGAAAACTTCTTTCTGTGAGAATCAGTCATCGGGAAAGTTTTTTAAGCCTGATGAACGTATGTGACATAACCTTAAACATTTGACATCAATATTTTAAGGACTTCCAACCACATATTTCAGCCTAAAAGCTCCTGTTTTACATTCTGATGTCAAATAATTTTTTTGAATTCTTTATCATTTGGGAAATGATCTCGCTTCTTAAAAATAATTATTAGTTATCGTTGTAAACACATTTCTTTGACAATGTTTTCAGGAGCAAAAGGATAGGCATTTTCAAGTCGGCATCCTTCTGTGTATTGAATGTGGGGGGGGGGGTTGTAGGGCGTCCCCTCCCCCTGCTTTTCTCCTCCGTAGCCCAGTGGCAGCAGCTCAAGTCTAGGTGGCTCGGTGCCAACAGAAATGCCTATGGAAAGGAAAGCCTGTTCTCCACAGAGAGCTGACTGCTTTGTGAAAGAGGAGAAGACAAAGCCTAATACAGTGAAACTTCTTTAGAACATTTTCCAGGGAACTGAACATTCTGAATGTCCTACGTGGGAAAACAGGCGCTGGGAGACCAGCACAATGACGCATTTCACTGCGCTGCACTTGCCAAACATTCCAGCGCGCCCTGCGCACGAGGCGAATAAACTGGCTTCAACGGGAGATGGGCAGAGGCTCTCGAAAGCTTTCCTCCCGCCCCCTCTGCGGTTACACAAAACGGTCATAACAGAGGCCAGGTCTGTTCTCAAATACCACGCGCTGGAGGAGGTAGAAGAATACCCTGTGGGTCCTTGACTGGCTCAGGTGGCTTAGAGAAGGGCAAAACAGACGACAGAAATCACATGGAGAAGGAACAGACCTCTTGAGGGGAGGTAAGCACACCGCATGGTGAGTATCCTCTTCTATCAATGTTGGGAGTTGGGGCCCTTGCACTTTTACTCGTTGTGCTTTTTTTCTCTATTGAGTGCTATTCCATTAGGTGCTAGCGTCTCATGGTTCTCATGTTTGAAAACCCCTCTTCTTGTGCATTTTAATTTATTTCAGATCATTACAGAAACACAAAACTGAGGACAAAATCACGGAACACCAGGGAGCTGGGCTGGCCATACTGTGCTTTGAACAGCCTGCGGTACACATCTGGTTGGAGCCTAGTTTTTTGTTTTTTGTTCTTTTTTTTCTGCAGAGCTGCTTAGGTGGGTGCAGGAAATTCTTACTGGGTTTGTCAGTTATCCTAGAAGCATCGTGGTATTTTTTAGATTACCAAGAATCTGTTGTAATGTGACTTTGTGACACAGCAGATAAAGAGATCAAGATAGATCACTGCTGGAGACTGTGTTTCCTAAGAATGGGTGATAAGCATTAGCAGATTTAAAAAAATGTAATCAATCAAGTAATGGAACAAGGCAGGAATGAAAGGAATGTTTTTCAATTTAAAATCTAGTGTAAATTTTGCCCTTAACAACATCGGAGAAAATGTAAAGAAGCTGAGGGAATTCCTTAAATACACAGTTAAGGAAAGAAAATACTGCTTAAGTAGATGCGTAAAATGGTTTCAGACATGAATATATGTATGCAGGTATGTATGTATGTATGTATAGGGTTTTCCCTTTCCTGTTAGGATTAAGCTATTTTTTTAGAGTAAATGTATTCAGGAGTGGATTACTTTGTCAGTAACAACAACCTACTTTTTGTAGCTCCTTAAAAAATAACCTTAAAAAATGCACAAGAAGAGATGTTTGTTTTAGAAAAACATGAATAATATTTTTTAACTTTTCTGAATGCTAGTGGTCTAATAGAACTGATAGAGTCTGGACGCCTGGGTGGCTCAGTCGTTAAGCGTCTGCCTTTGGCTCAGGCGTGATCCCGGGGGCCTGGGATCGAGTCCCACGTCCGGTTCCCTGCTCAGCGGGAGCCTGCTTCTCCCTCTGCCACTCCCCCCGCTTGTGTTCCCTCTCTCAGTCAAAAAAAAAAAAAAAAAAAAAAAAAAAAGAAAGACAGAGTCATGGTCACTAATGGGGAATGTTCCAAAAGACCTCAGAAAATACAGTAATGAAAGAGTGAGACAACCAAATACCAAAGTCTGAAAACTTCCAACTCTCTATCCACCAACCACACCCTTCCCACACCCACCCCACCCCCTCAAGGGATATGTCAATCTCCCAACACCTGATGGATGGTGAAAGAGTCAGTGCTGATGTTTAAGAGGCTGAAGCAGATATAGAAACAATGAAAGTTCGATAGTTACCATCCCTGCTCTTAAAATACCCCTGGCCACACTGCCACTGAGGATTTCTCATTGGCTGCCTGGGACAGAAAGCTTCTAAATGGTCTCCAGTGATCCTTACCTCCTGGTATTCATGCTCTTGTGTAATGTCCTACCCTTCAACATGGGCTGGTTTAGTGACTTGTTTCTAGCAAACAGAATATGACAAAGGTGATGGGATGCCATGTACTAGATTAGGTTACAGAATGGTTGTTGCTTCTGTCTTGGGTGCACGCTCTCACTTGCTCTCTCTGAAGAAAGCCAGCTGCCATGTGGTGAGCTGCCTATGGAGAAGCACACACCTCACTCAGCACACCAGCCCTCGAGGAATCAAACCCTGGCAACAACCAGGTGCGTCAGTTTGGAATCAGATCCTCTCCTACTGAGTCTTCACAGAAGACCTCAGCCTCAGCGGATGCCGGGACCACAACCTCATGAGAGACCTTGCACCAGAGGCACCAAGCTAAGCAGCACCCAGATTCCTGACCCACAGAACCTGTGAGAAAATAAATATCTGGTTTTTTAAGCCACTAAGTTCTGGGGTAATTTGTTATGCAGCAACAGATAACTAATACACCTTTCCATCCGGTGGCACCCTTCCATCTTCTTCAGTCCACCTTCTTATTTCCTGCATAGTGCCCCATCTCTCTCATGGCCCTTCCCCACCCTCGCTCCTTTTACTTCTTCTGTGGACAATTTAAAACTGTTTCACAGGCTCCTTTGTGCCATGCCCTCAGGGCTTCTCCTTCCCACCTTAAATGGCCTAAAAAGAATAAAGGAAGTTTGTAACCCAAGAGAAACTCTAGTGCCGGCTGCTGTAACAACAATTCTCAGCTTATATTAAGAAACTGTGGGTCGCCCAAAATAAGTAATGTATCTATGATTTCATCAACTTAAAAATATTCTAGTTTTGGGGGAAAAAAAAGCATATTCTAACTTCAGTACATTTTATAAAGTTGAGATTAAAACTTTGATGATGAAATGCTCCATTCCCTGATTATTTAAACTTTTGATAGTAATAAACAAATTATTTTCAAATATTTTAGTTATTTGGGGGCTACCATTTGATTTGGATTATTGTTACATGTTAGTGTGAGTTGTCCACTCCTGAAATCTCTGTTTTTCAGTCTTCTGGGCTCAGCTGTTATCTCAATACCTCAAATAAAATGCTGTGTGTCACCCCTTTCCCTCACAGCTGTAGAAATTCTTCTCTCTTCCAGGATTCCCATCAGTCACCGTTCTCTCTGGAATTAACGCCCCTCCTGCAGTGGTCAGCCTGCCTCTGTGGGCTGAGTTTCTGTTTCTGCCGGAGCCTTGTTCTACAATGGGCCCTGCCCTACTTTCTTCAACTTCCCTGAGATGCCACCAACACAGGGCTGCTGAATGGAAGCACAGCAGAGCACAGAAAGCAAACAACTTAAAATTAAAATTCAATGTTTCCTGAAATTAGACTTCTCCAGTTTCTTGGAGAACCGCAGCATGGGGAAGTCCTGACTGTCCTTAGGGTCTTGTGTGCCCCTCCCTAAGTGACCGCCCTAGTCTACCAAACCTTCTCTTCTGTCTTGCCATTTTTCCTCCAGTCTAAGAAGCCCCAGTCTACTCCCTACTGGGACCTTAATTTTCCTTAATACAAAGCATTTTAACTTGGTTTTGTTTAAACTTCCCCCATCGAGGTTGAGTGACAGAGAGGAGTGGGGAGGGGTCTCACCTTTTACCACTAAGGAGGCCCCAGGCCCATTCATGTGCTCTTTCCTAGATGTTGTTACCATCTCCTCAGCTCACACTGTTCCTAGCCATTTAAAATAACATTTCTAAATGTTACATTAGAGTTTAATAAAAAGATGTTAAAAAATTCTAATAATATATATAAGAAAAGTTGTGCCCCCCATCAAAATCCTGCTGAATTTGCTAAGAAATTTTTCAAAGAAATGGAGTTTTTTCTTAAGACTAGACCAAACACCCATACTCATGTATAATCCACGTCAAGTACAATGTAACAGGCTATTTTTTATGATTTTTTACGTTTGAAGCGATGAGGCCCTCTTTGAGGATCATATCTGAATGCTCATTCTATGGCATGGCCAATGATTGGCAAATATAAAGAAGTTATAGCTCATATCAATATCAAAGGTCTGACATTGATATGGAACATTACAATGTACAACTGCTATAAATTATGCTTCACCTCAGGAAGCAAGATGAAGATACACTGAACTTTAGACCTTGGTTCTGAGGAGGAGCTTTAGAAAAACTTACAGAAGAACACATATCATTGGAGATGACATTTAATTGCTTATTCTCCCCATAACTGTAAATATTTATAGTCTGTCATAAAAATACATTTCCTTGGAAAGTGTTGGTTCCTGGCTGCGCACTGGGGAAACCTTCCCTCGCTGCCTCCCTCCTGGTTGCTAATTGTATCCAGTGTTTTCAATGGGAGGTGGGAGGTCTGGTGAACTGGATGACCGACAGGAAAAAAGGGAGTTGGGTAGAGGGAGGGCGCTGATGGAAGAAATTTTTCACAGGTAGATTTTTCCAGGCAGGAGAGAGAATTAATCCAAGCAAAGATTAAGTATGGCATAGTACATTGGGTTCAACCAAAGACCTGACATTTGGAGGAGGGGAGCTTCCAGATCAAAAGTACCTACCCTGACCTCATGCAGTCAACAGTACACTCATTAAAGAATCAAAAGAGCTGTCACCTAAAACTGGGTTGTCCTTTGGAACCCAAGAAAATCTGTTGGTGGCCCTCTAAGAGAGCAACTCATAGAAGAAGGGACTTGTTTCCCTTCCCATCTTGTCAAGGAGTCTGAGTCAGAGTGACAGTACAGAGAATGGAATGGGGGCCAGGAGCCCAGTGGCAACTGGGTGAGCTGGGGAACAGAGATTAGCAGAATTTCACTGTGGCCAGTGGAGAGGCTTAAGCAAAATGTGGTTGAGCCACAGTCAAGTTAAAGCTTAAAGCAGAGACTAGAGAAGGTTGGATGGGCATTTAGGGACTTCAGAGATTCATGCTGGTTGAGGGAGAAGAGGAGAAATTCCAAAGGGCATTGATTTTCTGTGGTTATAAAGGGAAGAGGGTTATTAAGCTAGGAAAAGCTGGGATTGAAGGTAACTATCATCTCATTTGTATTCACAGGCTGGGGAGCTGTAATAGCACAGAGAAGAGTTTCTACTTATGATCACTTTTTCATATGGGAGAATTTCAGTCATATTGAAAGTACCATTTTGACAGGTATGATTGTAGAAGGTCAAATTTAGATTCCAGTAATAACACCCCCCCCCAAATTAGCCAGATTTGGGAATACACTTTCTCTGTCATGAATGTACAATAAGACAAAACTTTGACACTAAACTCTCTGAAACTCACTGACCTTATTAATAAATCATGAATAATGACTCTGTGCCATAACATTATTGTGCAGATAATGAGAAAACTTTGGGGGGAATGTTTAGCACATTATCAACAATTTAGCACATATCAACATTAGCTGTTAATATCCATGGTGCCACACTTGAGCCAAACAGATGACAGATTCTTTTATAAGGTACGGTAGGGAGAAAAGCACCCTGGACTGAGAATCAGGAGGATGGGTTTTTGTCCTGGTTCTGCTTCCAGCTCCCCTGGACGCTTGGTTAGTTCCTTAGCTAACCTCTTCCAGGATCAGATTGGTCGAGGAAAAAAGTGAGGGGCTCAGTCTCCGTAATGGCTAAGGTCATTTTTAAGAAAAACAATTCACGTATTTGTAAGATATGACCATTATTGTTGGTAAAACACTGGCTTTAATTATTTATTGTTTTTTAATATCTAGTACAGCAATTAAAGGATAGCAATGATAATGTTTACGGTTTTAATTTTTTAAAACTGTGTTTCTATGGGAAAAGCTTAAGTGTGCCATCATCCCCAATTAAATTAACTACAAATGTGGGAAGTTGGGTTGATTAGACGGACAGGGAATAACACTATATACTCCCGGTGCTAACATCTGAGTTACAGCTAAATGAGTAGGAGGAAGAATACAGACACTTTTGTGGCTGGTCTTGCAAACCCAAATATAAAAAATAAGGTTATTATGGTCACAGTTTAAATTTGTATTAGTGTTGTTTATTTCCTAAAAGGAGAATGGGGGAGTGGCAAAGGTGAAAGGTAGGGGGATGAGACTAACATTATAACGAATATTTACTGAGTACATCCTATGTGACAAGTACTGTGATAAACATTTTACATACTTTATCCCCTTTGCCCTTTGAGGTAGGCACAATCATTCTCATTTTACAGAAAATCAGCTTGCCAGTGTTACACAGAACAGTTTTTGGGACTGGAAGCCAAGTCTGTGACTTCATTCTATGTGTTTTCTAGATTATTGCCTGAAAAGAGGAATATAAGGAAAGGAAACAAAAATATTTGGTGCTTAGAAGTATAAGGAACATGACACCTGGGTGGCTCAGTCAGTTAAGCGTCTGCCTTCAGCTCAGGTCATGATCCCAGGGTCCTGGGATCTAGCCCCACTCAGGGGCTCCCTGCTCAGTAGGGAGCCCTCAGCCTTCCACTTGCCCTGCTTGTGCTCTCTCTGTCAAAGAAATAAATAAAATCTTTTTTAAAAAAAAAGTATAAGGAAATATTCACGGGTACAGGGGTGGCAAAGCTCCTCAGTTTCCAAAGGGTGCTTAGAAATAGGATATTTAAATATTATTATGTAATTTTAGTAAATTCTGACGTATATTCACCTGGAAATTCATACCCCTGCTGTATTATAAGAGTTTCTGGTCTGTATCGCTTTTGTGTCATTAAAATGTAAAGCCCGATGCCTCCCCAGTTGTTAGAACAAGATATTTTTGTAGGACCACTGTGGTGGCTTCGGCAGTTGTACCGTTAAAGTGGTCACTTTGATGTTGCTGTTAAATTAGCGAAGCAAGACAACAGCCAAAATTTCACTGGTGCCAAGCAGCAAACCCTGTTTCATTGGAGGAGGCTGCTCCTGATTCATAAATAATAGGGATTTTCTCTAATAGAAATGCATCTGGTGGCCTCAGGAGATCCTCTTTAATCCCTTAGAATGAGTTCAAGAGCTGTCACAACTTTTTATGACAATTTAGGCTTAATTTTAACTGTCCCATGAGCCTGTTGTACAGCAGATACAAATCCACACCTACTTAATACTTTATTTATTGGCCTTGGTTTTCTTTTTCCCTTATTTTCCCTGTTTTATTTTGTTATATTACTACCACTCACTCAAGCTGGAAAACTGGGGTCACCCTGAACTCCTTACAACCTCTATTCAACCCATTCCCGAATGTGTCTCTTCTCCATTCCCGTCACCTCTGCCTTAGCTCGGGCGCCCATCTTTGCTTTCCTGGACCAATTCAACAGCTACCAGCTGGGGCCCCCTGTCCCGAGGCTCTTCTCTCAAGCTCATCTTCTGTTTAAACCCAAGCCTGACCAGTCTCCACCCATTAAAAACCCTTCAGAGTCCTCATTGTCCATGGAGTAGTCCAAGCTCCTAGCAGAGCAGACAGGGCCTCCCCAGTCCTATTTCCCATCTTGGCTCTTTCTCCGCTCTCAGCCTTTTGCTCAAGCTGTTCCCTTTGTCCAAAGGTCCTCTCTGGCCACCCCATCCTCCAGCCCCTCATCCCTTATCCCTCACCCAGATCCTCACCATTCTTGGAGACACAGTTCAGATGTCACTTCTTCAGGGAAACCCGCTCTCACCACATTGTGATCCCTCCTGCTCTGTCCTAGGCCTCGGCGGGTGATCCTCTGCTCTCTTGCATTAGTACACTCATTTCTTCATAAAAGTGAGACTACTCTCAGGATTTCTTTCGGTTAGCAAAAACAGGTGCTAATGTGGGTCGTTTGTGAAAGCAAGCATGAGCTCACGTGAACTTTCAGGAAGCAGGAAGACTCTTCATTTTATGTCATTTCAGTTCATGGAAGATTTCATAGGTGTGCTCTGCCTTTGGGTAGTGAGGGAAACCTGTATTCATTAAACATATTACTGTAATCATCACTGACTATACTACATTTTATTGTAACTCTCTGTTGAGGTGTCTGTTGTCTTCCTTTAGAATGTTAGCTCATGCTTTTAAAAGTAGGATAGAAAAGGGGCAACGGCCAGAGAGTAAAATACACAAGAGAAATGACCAGAAGGGTCATAGAAAATAATGCAAATGATTCTTAAACATATAAAAAGATGCTCGATCTTGATAATAATAAGAGAAGCGTCAATTACTATGTTACCATTACTTACCTATCATAAATCCAAAAGTTGGACAACACACTCTGTGGGTGAGGCTGTGTGGAACTAGGCATTCTCACACATTGCTGGTTGGAATATAATTGGTACAATCATTATGGGGGGACATTTGGCAATATCAAATAAATTTTTATATGCTTTTACCCTTTGGTCCAGCATTCACACTTCTAAGAATATATCCCAAAGGTGTACTGCCAAATATATGAGAAGATGTAGGTAGAGAGCAATACTCTGTAGCACTTTTTATAACAACAAAATGTTGGAAATAGCCCACATTAACCATTAATAGAGTACTGGCTGGATAAATTATGGTAAATCTATACAAGAGAGTATTTTGAAGCTGTACAAAAATGAGAACCGTCTTTATATAATGCTATAAAGTAATTGCCAGATGCATTAAGTGAAAAAAGCAAGGTGGAACACGTGTGTTCAGTTTGTTACTGTTTTTCTGAGAAAGAGGAGGATATAAGGATATAGGTACTTACAGTCTTTAAAAGTGTAAGGAAAAGGAAATAAGATGGACATTACAAGAACAAAAGCTAGACTTTCTAAATATTTCTTATTTTAAGGATTTTACTTTGGAACCATGTATATATTTTACTTAATTGTGAAATCATTTTAAAAATCCCCCACCCCAAATGAAAAAGAAATGAACCTAGATGTACGTATTGAGTTGGTGGAATAATCTTGCAGAGAAGAACTGGTGTTTCTCCTCTATTTTCCCTTCCCTGCAGCCCTTTGCCATCAGAATTGTTGACCCTGAGACCACGACAGATGTAAAGTTTGCAACAGCTTCTAAGGCAGAGGGGAAGCCTGTGTTTCCCATGATGGGTTAGTGGGAGGTCCTCAGCTCAAAGGCAGGGTCTCCTTTATTTTCTGCTTATTTTGCTAAAGAATTACTTTTCCTCATTCAGCTTCCTCCTTCCTTTCTCTTCCCAGCACCAGGAAAATCACAAGTGACAAAGCAAACTAGGCAGGTTCCTATCTCACACTAACAGATTTCAAATTTGAACAGCTTGAGCTTGGAAAATGATAGGTCCGAGGACATAAATAGGGAATTTTCTTTTCTTTTCTTTTCTTTTTAAGATTTTATTAAATTATTTGAGAGAGAGAGAGAGAGCACACAAGCAGGGGGAGGGGCAGAGGGAGAGGAACAAGCAGACTCCCCACTGAGCAGGGAGCCCAACATGGGGCCTGGGATCACAAACTGAGCAGAAGGCAGATGCTTAACTGACTGAGCCACCCAGGTGCCCCAGATTGGGAATTTTCTGAGAGAATCTTTCAGCTAGGGATAGAGAGCTCTTGACCATAATAACCAGAACTAGTAACTTCAGAAAGAGCAGAAAAGCTTCTGAAACTGCAGAGGGCCAATACAGAGGACAGGAAGAGTGCAGTACAGGCCAGGATCAAAGAAAATGGCACCGAAGAGCAGTAGCAAAACGAAGACTGACTCTAGCTGCCCACACAGGGGAAACAGAATCAGTTTCTGATTGGAAGGGTTGAGTGGTTAAAATGAGGGGCCTTCCTGTATAACATGTTTGTGCATGTATGTCTGTGTTATCTGGTCCTTACACATCAGGTTCTCTGGAAGTTGGGGGCAAGATGGGTATTTGGGATTTACACCTGTGAACAGGAAGAGGCAGAGCAGGATTGGGCAGAGGGAGAAGCTGAACTGTGATAAGGGCTCAACAAAACCCTGGCCCATCAGGCAAAAAAGTTGTCCTGCGGCAGACAGAAATGATTGGCCATTATACTCCCACCTGGCTTAGTCACTTGACACAGGCCGCCCTGGAAAGGGCTCGACCTGCAACAGAAGACGCAGTTCTGCAGCTGAAGGAGACCCCGAAGGAGCTGATAGCTGGAGGCTCTGGGCTGACCGCATTTCCTGCAGCGAGGAGGCAAGCCCTTCCTTGAAGGGGAACTGGGTGGTGCATCTCTCTGCCTACCATGCTACCAAACCTCTCCATAGTCAATACTGTTTTTATTTTATTTTCTTTCAACAAACAAAAGGTATTACCTTTTCATATATTTGGTGTTGAATTTGAAATTACCATTACAATTTCTATTCCATGGATTATCAGGTGGTCAATATTATATTTCTGGGCAGGCTGAAGTTAGCTGTGCATTCATTTATCTACCTCACAACATTTATTAAATATCTATTGCATGGAAGTCTCTGGAAATCGGAAAGATGAATAAAGATGCTTTTCCCATGAACTCTTGGGAGTTAGATTCTAGTGGGGTGGCAGACAATTAAGTAGACAATTAAAACGAATGGTGAGAGTTTAAAAGATAGGTATAAACAATATGCTACAGAAGTTTAAGGGTCATGAAGGAGAAAATACTCTGCTATGTCTGCCAGGCATCCTCCTGGAAGAGGAGATGTGGGCTCTGGCCTTCAGATGACAAGAAGTATTTGCATAGGACATTATAGGAAGAATGAATTGCATGTGTAAAGGCTGAGAAGAATAAACGAGCATCACATGTTATGGGAATCATAAATAAATTGATGTGACCAGGGCACATATTGTAAGTATTGGAATCAGGGCTGGGAAGATAAATAGATATGGATACAGATACAATCATTCATTCATTAGTATAATTTTGTATTGTATTCTATCTAGCCAGTGTGTCTCAAATGCATTTAATAATGATTTGTGGGTTTGCTTGTTGTTTTTGTTTGTTTGTTTATAGTAACACCCCTCTGCAGAACTTTCTTTGGGAAATGTTGCAAGAAGTCTTGAGATTGAGCCTGCCAGGTCGTCTGTGACATAAGTCTGTTCTAGATCTAGTACTTGGACAGGTCTGTTTTGACTTGCTACTGACAGATTTTAAAAATATATTATTAGATGCAGATCCTGGGAACAATACAGTTGTATCCATCTGTTCTTAGAGACTAGAATACAGAACTTTGTGAGAAGGAATAACGGAGAGGCGTCCTTAGCAACCACCTAGTTTAGGACACAGACAGGGAGAAAGAGACTGCAGAGTCTTTGACTCTTTCTAGGGCAAATTGGTCTGAGGAAGCTGAGGAAGAAAGTCCAGGTGCACAGTGAAGACCTTCGCCATGGCATCTGTATCATTTCGAGAGCCAATATCTGCCACAGTAGGAAAACGGATGATTGTTACAGGTAAAGAGTTTTCGTGTATGCTTTCATGAGGAAATCTACACTTTCTTTATCCCTCACCTCTATGATGTTCACATATGATACTCACATAATGGATGGAAGAGCGAAATCATCACATATGTTTATTTTCTATGTTACTGCTACTCTCATGCACAGTCTGGGCATCAACACCATGCTGCCATAGACAGATCTGCGACATCCCAGTTTTCACTCTGTCTAAGCTAACTTTCACAAGTGAACATTTTTATATCATAAAGTTTATGTTCTGTGTAAGGGGAACTACTTTGATGTTAACTAAAATATACTTTTGGGGGCACCTGGGTGGCTCAGTCAGTTAAGCGTCTGCCTTGAGCTCAGGTCATGGTCTCAGGGTCCTGGGATCGAGCCCCACAGCAGGCTCCTTGCTCAGCAGGGAGTCTGCTTCTCCCTCTCCCTCTCCCTCTACTCTCTCCCTCAAAAAAAAAACGAACTAAAAAAATAATAAATAATAAAAGTATACTTTTGATCAAATTTTAATTATTACTAATTTAGTCTTCTTATATTTTTATAAACTGGATATATTTGGTTAATAAAAATTCGAACAAGATGTACATTAATCCTAGTACAATTGTTGGCTTGCGTTTTGTTCAACTTGCTTTAAAAATTATTTGAGTGGTATGTGTGTGTGTGGAATTATAATAACATGTAATTGAATAGAATATGACTAATTGTGGTAAGTCTATAAAGAAATAAACTAAATTTCATCTTATTTTCTTTATAATTTTAAATCATAAGCATATCTTATAAGCTTATCTTCTTGCCTATCTATAAATTTCCACTTCAATCTTGAGAAACCTGGCTCCAACTATTTGCCATCCACTTACTTGTTCAATTCCAGTATACAGGTATACAAGTATCAGAATTATTAACCTGTACTCCACGGGAACAAACTTTATCAACTAGGGGATGGTGCCTCCTTGCAGTTCCTTTTGCCTTTAGACGTACAGACTCTACTCACTTCCAAAGTTACCTAGGTGAGCATCTCTCCCTCCCACCCCCTTCAGTTAGACTCTTGTCACAGTATGAATTCCTTGCCGGAATCCCCCAACTTCCTAAATGATTTTTTTAAAATTTGTATACAACAAAGTTTGCTTTTTGTGCTGTAAAGTCAATTTTTTAAAATTTTTATTTATTTGAAAGAGAGAGAGAGGGCTCAGTCCCAGGATCCTGAGATCATGACCTGAGCTGAAGGCAGACGCTTAACCGACTGAGCCACTCAGGCGCCAAGTCTATTGACAAATTCATAAGGCCATGTACCCACCATCAGAGTAGTATACAGACTAGTTTCACCACTCTAAAAATCCCTTGAGGGCGCCTCTCTCTCTCTCTCCCTCTCTTTCTCTCCTCCTCTGTCTCTCATGAATAAATAAATAAAATCTTTAAAAAAATAAAAATAAAAAAATAAAAATCCCTTGAACTTCACCTATTCATTTCTTGCTCTTCTCTCCCTGAGCTCCTAGCAACCACTGGTCTTTTCACTATCTATAGCTTTGTCTTTTCCTGAATGTCATAGAGCCAGAATCATACAGGATCTAGCCTTCTCAGATTGGCTTCTTTCACTTGCCAATATGCATTAAGTCTCCTTCAGGTCTTTTCATCGCTTCATAGCTCACTTCCTTTTAGAAATAAATATTCCATGCTATGGATGTCCCACCGTTTATCTATTCACCTATTGAAGGACATCTTGGTTGCCTGAGGTTTTTGCAACTCTGAAAAAAAAAGCCTCTATAAACATTTGGATGTTGGCCCTTGTGTGGATATGTTTTCAAATTAATTTGGTAAATACCTAGGAATATGACTGCTGGATCATATGACGAGACTATGTTTAGCTTTGTAAGAAACTGCCAAACTGTCTTCCAAAGCAGCTGTACCATTTTGCATTCCCAGCAGCAAGGGCTGAGCATGCCTGTTGCTGTGGCATCCATGTCAGCCTTTGTTTTTGTCTGTTTGGGGGGGGGTTGTTTTGTTTTTTATTTTTCACTTTTAGCCATTCTAATAGGTATGTAGTTACATCTCACTGCTGTTTAAACTCACAACTCCTTTTTTAAATAATTTTTAAAAATTATGTTATGTTAGTCACCCTACAGTCCATCATTAGTTTTTGATGTAGTGTTCCATGATTCTTTGTGTATAACACCCAGTGCTCCATGCAGTACGTGCCCTCTTTAATACCCATCACCGGGCTAACCCATCTCCCCACCCCTCTCCCCTCTAAAACCTTCAGTTTGTTTCTCAGAGTCCATAGTCTCTCATGGTTCATCTCTCCCTCTGATTTCCCCCCTTCATTTCTCCCTTCCTTCTCCTAATGTCCTCCCTGCTATTCCTTATGTTCCACAAATAGGTGAAACCCTATGATAATTGACTTTCTCTGCGTGACTTATTTCACTTAGCATTACCTCCTCCAGTTCCATCCATGTTGATGTGAAAGTTGGGTATTCATCCTTTCCGATGGCTGAGTAATATTCCATTGTATATATGGACCACATCTTCTTTATCCGTTCATCTGTTGAAGGGCATCTCGGCTCTTTCCACAGTTTGCCTATTGCGGACATGGCTGCTGTGAACTTTGGGGTGCATATGGCCCTTCTTTTCACTACATCTGTGTCTTTGGGGTAAATACCCAGGAATGCAATTCCTGGGTCATAGGTAGCTCTATTTTTAACTTTTTGAGGAACCTCCACACTGTTTTCCAAAGTGGCTGTACCAACTTGCATTCCCACCAACAGTGTAAGAGGGTTCCCCTTTCTCACAACTTCTCCAACATTTGTTGTTTCTAGTCTAGTCAATTTTTGCCATTCTAACTGGTATAAAGTGGTATCTCAATGTGGCTTTGATTTGAATTTCCCTGATGGCTAATGATGTCGAACTCCTTAATGACTAATGTTCATATACTTATTTGCCATCTGTATATCTTCTTTGTTGAGATGTCTGTTCATAATGTTTGCCTATTTTATAATTGGGGTTTTTTGTTTTCTTATTGTTGAGTTTTTAAGTTCTGTATGTATTTTAGATATAATTCCTATATCAGATAAGTGTTTGTAGATTTTTTCCCCCCAATTTGTGACTTGTCTTTTCATTTTCTTAGCATCATCTTTCATACAGAGGAAATTTTTAGTTTTAGTAAAGCACAACTGATCAATTTTGGATTATGCTTTTGATGTGGTATTTAAAAATTCCTCACCAAACCCAAAGTCACCTAGATTTTTCTCCTATATCTTTTCTTAAAAGTTTTACAATTATGTGTTTTCAGTTAGGTCAATGATCCATTTTAAGGTGATTTTGCATTTCTTAAACTTTTCATTTCCATCAGCCAGTAAATTTCCTGTTTTCCTTAAGCCACTTTGGGTTAGGTTTTCTGTCACTTGCAACTGTGGTTCTTCACTGATAACTTAAAATTTCTTCTAATTTATGTCAGTGTATACTTAGTTTCATGTATTTACATAATTCCAAGTTGTCACCTTTGATAGATTTCAGCATACTGATATAGAATAATTAACTTCACATTCTCCTGTATTTTATATTTAATTTCCAAATTTTCACCCTTTAATAAAGCTACATGAATACTTTTGCATAAATTATTTTTCTCTGTTATTTTCTTATGGTATATTTACAAAGAATGGAATTAGCAGGTTAAAAATAAAGACTCCATTATCTACTTTTTTTTTAACTTTTTATTTATTTATTCATGAGAGACAGAGACAGAGAGAGAGAGAGAGAGAGGCAGAGGGAGAAGCAGGCTCCCAAGGAGCAGGGAGCCTGATGCGGGACTCGATCCCAGGACCCTGGGATCATGACCTGAGCCGAAGGCAGACGCTTAACCATCTGAGCCACCCAGGCACCCTCCATTATCTACTTTTTTAAAGATTTATTTATTTTAGAGAGAGAGAGCATGTGCACATGACTGGGGGGAAGTGTAGAGGGAGAGAACCTCAAGCAGAATCCCAGATGAGTGCGGAGCCCGATGTAGGGCTCGATCTCGTGACCGATGAGATCATGATCTGAACCGAAACCAAGAGTTGGATGCTTAACTGACTGAGCTATCCAGGCACCCCAAAGACTCCATTATTCATTATTCTATGAGATGATTCACGATGCATTACTTTATGTACTTTGACTACTCATCTAATTTGATCACTCATCAATTTTTATTTTTCTATCAAATTTTAATATTTTTCTTTTAAAATATATTTTTGAGACTAAATTTTTTTTATAATGCTTTGAAATTCAATTTAACAAATATAAATTGAATCTCTACTGAATACTAAAAACTTGGCCAAGAGGGGTGACTGGCTGGTTCAGTCAGAAAGAGCATGGGAGGGGCGCCTGGGTGCCTCAGCCAGTTAAGCATCTGACTCTTGGCTTCAGCTCATGTCATGATCTCGGGGTCAAGAGATTGAGCCCCATGTTGGGAGTCGTGCTCAGCCCGGAGTCTGCTTAAGATTTCCCTCTGGCCCTCCCCCTGCTCTCTCTCTCTCTCTCAAATAAATAAATAAATCTTTAAAAAGAAAAAAGAAAGAAAGAAAGAGCATGGGACCCTTGATCTCAGGGTTGTGAGTTTGAACCCCCTGTTAGGGGCAGAGATTACTAAAAAAATAAATAAACTTAAAAAAAATAAAAAATAAAAAAAAATAAAAACCTGGCCAGGAGCTCTGGAGGATACAGAAATGAACATGAATAGATGCTTTTTTTTCTTCTAGAAGCTTATAATCTGTTGCTCTGGTTAGAACATTATAAGTTATGCTGTTATCCTATTTGTTTAATCTAAATATCCATCATAGTATAGTGTGGTATTGAAAGGAAACACAAATCTAATTCCAAAGGCCTTGAAAAATAATGTAAAAGAAGTAGAAAATGAGGAAAATTATATCACATTGCACTCCACAAAACGAAACCACACATTTTGTTTTGTTTTTCCTGTTCATTTCTTTTCTTTTTGAATACGCAATTAAAGCATAAATTACCTC